ATGATATAATGACATAATATCCCGTCTCTCAGGAACATCAACGAACAGTTTATCATTAGGCCTCTCGCTAGGTGCCATGCTTTGTTTCGCTTGTATGGCCTGCAAGAGGGACGAGGAAATAGACAAAATAGTAGTAGCTATTATCCTGTCTGGGGGAATGACAGGAGTAACATCAATCTCCTGTTTGTCAGTAGTTTCGAACTGTCTGGACAGAGCGTCTGCTTTAGTGTTGCGATCACCTGGCCTATAGGTGATAATAAAATTGAAACGGGACAAAAATAGTGACCACCTAGCCTGCCTGGAAGACAATCTTTTGGCTTCGCTAAGGTAGGATAGGTTCTTGTGATCCGTAAAAATGAGGATAGGATCCTTAGTTCCTTCTAACAAATGTCTCCACTCTTTAAGTGCTAAAATAATAGCAAGGAGTTCGCGATTACCCACATCATAATTTTTCTCTGCTTTGGACATTTGTTTAGAAAAGAAGCCGCATGGATGCAATGGCTTTTCAGGCGACTCTCTTTGGGATAAGACAGCACCTACCCCAATATCCGAAGCATCAACTTCAAGAATATAGGGCAGTGAGGGGACAGGATGCTGTAAAATAGGTGCAGAGGCGAACGTAGTTTTAAGAAATTCAAAAGCCTGAAGTGCCTCGGTAGACCAAACACGAGTATTGCCATCCTTTTTAGTCATACGGGTAATAGGTGCTACAATGGACGAGAAACCTTTGATAAAACGTCTATAATAATTGGAGAACCCAAGAAAACGCTGAATAGCTTTCAGACCTTGCGGTAGAGGCCATTCTATTACAGCAGCAAGCTTCTGGGGATCCATACGAAAACCTTTAGCGGAAATCAAATACCCCAAGAACTGGACTTCGGTTTGGTCAAACAGACATTTTTCTAGCTTGCAATAAAGACCATTAGCAAGAAGGGTCTTCAAAACTGTCGTAACATGTCTGTGATGAGTGTGTATATCTGTAGAATATATTAAAATGTCGTCCAAGTATACGATAACAAATGTGTGAATAAAATCTCTTAAGACATCATTAATAAATTCTTGGAATACTGCTGGGGCATTGCAAAGCCCAAATGGCATAACAGTATATTCGTAATGACCGGATCTAGTGTTGAATGCAGTCTTCCATTCGTGATTTTCCTTTATACGTATCAAATTGTATGCACTCCTAAGGTCTAATTTAGTGAACACAGTGGCATGTTTCAGCCTGTCAAATAATTCTGTAATTAAAGGTATAGTGTATGCATTTTTGATAGTGATTTTGTTTAGACCTCTATAATCTATACACGGTCTTAAATCACCTTCTTTCTTCGATACAAAGAAGAACCCTGCTCCAGCTGGAGAAGAGGATCTCCTAATAAACCCCTTTTCTAATGATTCCTTAATATACTCCTCCATGACACGGTTTTCTTGAACCGATAAGGGGTACACCCTGCCCTTTGGAGGTATAGTGCCAGGCAACAAGTCAATAGCGCAATCATAGGGTCTGTGAGGTGGTAATTTCTCAGCCTCCCTTTTATCGAAAACAGTCTTTAGAGATAAATACTGAGGGGGTATAGCCGTAGACAAAGGAGGACTGGTAGGTACCTTAATAGAATTCAAAGGTGTGACTTCAAACGTACAAGACTCGTGGCAGGCCTCACTCCATGATTTTATTCGCCCTGTCTCCCAGTCAAAAATGGGATTGTGAGCACGTAACCATGGATACCCTAATACTAACTGTGAAGAGGGAGAGGTGATGACCTGGAATCGAATGGTTTCATAGTGTAAAAACCCTGTGTACATGTGTAATGGTACAGTCTCATGAGTAACAACTGGAGAACTTAATGGTCTACCATCTATGGCCTCAACGGCCAAGGGTATCTCCTTCTCTCTGATGGGAATGTTGTTTCTCTTTATAAAGCCAGAGTCTATAAAATTTTCAGCCGCCCCAGAGTCAACCAGAGCATATATGTTGTCAACTATACAAATCTCTCCCATATATAAAGAAACCGGGAGAAGCAAGCGGTTAGGAGGCAATTTAGGAGACTTAGATATCACACCCAAGGCCAGTCCCCTATAAGGTCTTAGGTGCGAGAGTTTTCCGGGAGTAAAGGACATTACTTTACCATATGGTCTCTCCTACCACAGTATAGGCAGAGTCCCTCCCTTCTCCTATGTAATTTCTCAGTATCAGAGAGTTTGGCAACCCCTAATTGCATAGGTTCTTCCTCAGACACTTTAACACTCTCTGGTATATTAACTCTGGGGTTAATGGGTGTAACAAAACGTCTATTCCTGTTCTTGGTATAGAGCCTGTCACGAATCCTATTATCTATATCAATGAGGTAATCGATAAGGTCCTCTAAGGCAATAGGAAGCTCCTTAGCTGCTACCTCATCCAATATCGTATCTGACAAACCTTCCATAAAGGCAGTAGTTAACCCATTGTTGGTCCAATCTACCTGCGAAGCAAGAGTGCGAAACTGAATAGCATAATCAGCCACAGACCTAGAACCCTGTTTAATTCTCATTAATGCTCTCGCGGCATTCTTTGACCTTCTCATTGTGTCAAAAGTTCTACGAAAAGCCGTAAGAAAACTGTTGAAATCATGTACCATAGGTCCATTAGCTTCCCAAATAGGATTTGCCCACTCAAGTGCCTTATCGGTAAGTTGGTGCATAAAGAACCCAACCTTAGACCTCTCTGTGGGAAATGAACGTGGATACATTTCAAAGTGGAATTCAATTTGATTAATAAACCCTCTGCAAGTCTTAGAGTCCCCTCCATACCTAGGAGGAGGTGTTAAATGGGCCGAAGTATTAGGCAAAGTAGATACTTCAGGGAGGGTTAGGTGTGGTTGCTGGAACGGTTCTAGCTAGGAGCGTCTGGAGAGCCTGAGCTATCTGATCCATACGGTGATCCTGCTCTACAAATCTTGCCTCATGGGACGCCATCTGTTGAGCTAAATCTGCGGGGTCCATGGCCCTATCGTAATGTAACGAGAATATACCCCTACACGCAGGATCCAGCTAAACAGAAGCCAATATAGAGGAGAGATACGTCTACCGGACCTTAGAATGGCCGGACTCGACGTATATGAGAGGAGACAGAGCCAGGAACAAACCGAGGTCAAGGGCACAGAGAGACAGCGTAAACTAGGACAAGCCGGGGTCTGGTACACGGAAAACAGTACAGATAAGGATAAAGCGAAAACAAAGTCAGAATACGAAGCCAAAGTCAATACGAGAAAACACAACTGAACACCACAAGCGCTAAAGGGAACTGAAACAGAAACCACGATAGGGCAACGAGTTAAGGGAAAAAGGTAAGTTTAAATAGCTTTAAAACGAAAGTGATTGGCTCCTGTCACTTCCACACCCCCTATAGGTAATTGTACAGGGAGTGTGGTATGACAGGGGCCAATGGGAGCCTTTTGGCAATTAGGCTCCCACTGTCTCTTTAAGAGCGCGCCCGAGACTCGCGGCGCGCTCTTAGTTTCAGGCGGGACATGTGACCGCTTCACGCGGTCACTGCCCGCCTTCCATCTAAAGTAGTCGGATGAGCCGCGTGCGGCTCGTGCAGCCGCAGGACCGCGCGCGGCTTGAAGAGAGGACCGCGACCGGCCCCCGGTTAAGGTAAGTAACGCTACAGGAACATCGTCTTCATAGTGAAGTTTTTATTTTTATTGTTTTTTTATTTTTAATTATTATTATTTTTATAAATTTTTTCAGTATTTTGGAGATTTTTGTCCCATGGATTATATTTAAAGATTTTCTGGCGCCATATCCCATGTTTTATCTAAACAGTGTGAAGAGAAACTATTTGACAAGTTGTCTTTGCTGACTAAATCGTTATTATTTGGTGGCAATGTTACTACTATGTATATATGTATAGTTTTGAGCAGCAATTTAAGTTTAGAAATGGCTGTTCTATTCTTTATGTTCACACGGTATTCCTTTAAAATTGCAGTCTAGATCTGATAACTCTGCATGTTATATTCCACATGTGGGCAGTAGTCGGATTTTATTACCGATAGAATTATTCTCTTTTAAGGGATAGCCTCTATATTAGTGGTTATTAAGGAAGTATATGTATGATCTCTTAAATTGGTAGATGCCTTCTAGATATGGATACTAGGTCTTAGTGCATATAGTACTTTGGTGCTTTTTGATTGGGCACTTGGTGTCTTTCTTATACATTAGTTGGGATCTGTCCGGTGTTTCTATGGAGTGTTTTGGCGTTCCAATGTAACTATAGCAACCAGTTTTTCATTGTTGCTAAATATACAGCACTTCCGGGTTTCTCACGTTGGCACATGCGCACTTGGTTGTGGGAGACGCCGACACTCTGGTTCACTTCACCTGTGGTGAGTTATTTTCTTTTTCTTATGGGGTATATAATACAGCACTGGCGGTTAGTGTGGTATTGTCAGTTCATCCTGAGGAAAGCCCCGGACGAGGGCTGAAACGTTGGTGTGACGATGTTGTGACAGCTATTTGAATAAAGAAATTTCTGTTTTCACTTTTTCAAATCCGTGATTGCAAGCTGTTTTTTTCATGTGTTTATAACTGATGGCTCTGGCTTTTTAGCACCCGACATTTATACTGCTGATTGGCCTGAGTGCAAGGACGCATCTATAATATATATATATATATATATATATATATATATATATATCTATATCTATCTATCTCATTTATTTACATCATGTTACAAAAAACAAATATTTCAAAATAATGTACATTGGATCTAAAATAGCTGTTATGAATTATTCACAATATTCAGCACACTCAGTATTGACAGAACCTTGCACTACATTTTTTTTTCAACCTTCATAGCCCCCAGACTCCCCTCCTGCTAAGCAGAGGGAGAGTGATTCCCGGAGGTGAACTTCAAATACGGTCAGTCTCGTTTTATGAATTTATCATTTTTGTAGTCTATAGGGCCCTGCCCAGACCACACCTCTCTGTGTTGGGAAAGGAGTAGCACTAGATACTAGCTTGCATAAAGAAGATGCTTATAAAGAGGACACATTACACTTTCTCCAAGCGGGGGTTAAACATTCTGCTCTGTACGGTATGTATACCACTTCCAGGCTTATTCTGTGTGTGATGAAACTCGTTTATTTCATAGCACTTCATCAGAAAGTATTTGTTCAACAGGAAATTAAGCATGTTTTTTTTATGTATGTTAGATCTGTAGTTGCCAAGGGATTAATAGTTGTACCACTTAATTGCCAAAAAAATCTGACAGTATTTTGTCAATATCTTGCCATTGTTATATACTGGTTTAAACATCAAGTCCTGTGACAAGGAAAGCGGTAATCTGTGTCCTCCTAAAAATGTTGAATTTTTTTTATATATTTATATTATATTTAGAAGTTGAATCTGGTGGTAATTAAGTTATATATGGTTTATGTCATAATAGAGAAATACATGCACTTCAGCACTTGGGTGGTTAAAACTAGAGTCTTGCCTGATTTAACTGTAGTAGCTCCAGATTATCAGTTATTATCACTTGCATATTTAAGATATTTAGCAACAATGAAAAATAATAGCTCTAATCGTTATTAACCCCTTAAGGACACATGACATGTCTGACATGTCATAATTCCCTTTTATTCCATAAATTTGGTCCTTAAGGGGTTAATGTTTCATTAGCAATCACAGAAGTATCCTGTCCCTAGTTATTACAGTTTAGTATAATCTTCCCTGTATACCTCTCTATCCCATCACATTGGGTATTATACACATTGTTATAGGGGATCTGTCTGCAGGAGCATTCCATCCGTTTCCATGGTGATTACGTCACTTTTCATGTGTTGCCCCCTATTCGTCTGAATGCATTGCTCAGTTACAAAAACACAACATATAATGCAAGAGTTATTTTATTTTAATATTATTTATATAGCGCCATTACATTCCGTAGCGCTGTACATTGAGTTGTACGCTTCTGCAATTCTATACAAATAAAAATAGTTATTTTCCCTTATTTTGATGATAAAAGCTATATAAATCAATAACAAATGTAACATGTATTAATAGTGTTTGCTCTTAAAAAGTTAAATACTATATATATAAAATATTTTTTACATAAAAGTACCATTCCATCAGAATACAGTTGGCAGACAATGAAAATATCCAAACCAAAAGAAAAAAAGATGATACACAACTGGTCACACGAGGAGATCCAGGAATTATTGCTCCAATATAAAACTGTTTATTCCATCGAGCAGAAAGACAAGGTCAGGTTACAGCCACCTCACTTCATAAGTGAAAAGCGACAATGAAAATAAACTTGACCATTTGATGCATTGAGAGCTCAAACACACATATTGCTCTCTGTGAGGGATGGTCGAGCGCGCATGAACTTGTAAGGAAGGCACTTAACTCACTTTGTGGAGAGGGAAAGAGGAACTGGTAGAAACAAAAAACAGTGTCCTTTAAAAGGAACATGGACATACAGTGGGTTCGTAGTTAATGAAGTTTGAAGGTCCTAATGACTGCCTGCCTGACATTCACTATATTGCAAAATGAAAACCGTGCCAATTTGCAGAGACTGCACAGTTTTCAATTTCACGGCTGCAGGGACAGTGTAAAACGTTTCTGAGAGGTTGGATAAAAAGCAGGGTTTTCCTTCCATCTATAGCCTAGCTTTGGCTTGAAATTAGCTGCAGGACAGGGACCTGTGTAAAGCCCTGGCTCCTTTCAAGCCAAGAGTGGGCTATAGATGTGGCCTGGTTTTGAGTGATATGTCAAAAATGGATCAAATTGTATACTGCCCCTTTATATAGGGAAAATCTAGAATGATGGTTCCTGCGGCGCAGGAATAATGAAAGGATAACTCCACATCCCAACTGTAAATAAATATATTACTGTTCAGCAGATTTACATTTTTTTTCATTTGGGTATAAGAACAGATCTCCTGTCTGCAGCCTTTGCAAGCCCTCCCCTTCTAACCCTACCCAGACCTTCTGTGGCTGTCCAATCACAGACTTGCAGCATTCAGCTCAATGAGAAATCTTTGCAATACAGGTGCTCTGGGCAATTGCTGCCTCTTCAGTTTATATCCACTGAACTAACCAAAGTTTAGTAACAGAACATGTTATATTTGACAGCGGAAAGAATGGGGGTGGGGATGAGGGGTGGTGTAAAAAGTTTAACTTATAAAAGTTCCAATTTCTATTGAAATCTTCAATCTTTAAATTTTTAAAACTACAAACTCCGACCAAAGCATTTCAGCAAGCTATAGTACTTTAGGTGTTTGAAGTGTTTCTTTAAAAGCAACCCCACAAGTCATGTTATTCACTACAATGAAATTGTGAGGAATTCAGAGTAAGTGTCAAATTTAAAGCTAAAATAGCAGGGCTGGAAAAATTCTCCAAGTCATCTATGCTTCCAGCTCAACTGCTTTGGACTTAAATATACCTAATAAATCAACTTCCTGTATGCCTTAATTTGTTTCTATGCAAGCTCCATCCTTCCTTAGGAGCTTTAATTAAAGAATCAAGTCATCCTACGTTCCTGGTATTAAAATGCCGCCTGTCCATAGTGCGTGGTTTACCTGTCTCAATACACCTTGTAACACAGTAAGCTATATAATCTGGTAATGCTAATACCCCTCAATTCTCTTTGGTAATGAGGAAACAATGCTTGTTTGTTAAGACAAGGCAATGGGTGTTGTATATTACTTACTTGCTGCCGCACCTGACTTGATTAGGACCAGGTAAGCCCTGCCCAGGTGTGGTGCTCAATTACCTGCCAGTTCCCATATATTGACTCTTTGTTTAAACAAGTATATAACAATAGAAAAAAAAATGCAAATATAAAACACAGCAAATGTGCGCTTTGGGATTCCTCTAGTTAATGTGTAATAAAATATTTATAGTGTTAATGTGTATAGCTTGGTAAAGTGCTATACATCAGAAGATGTGGTAGCAGCAGGGATCACTCTCCTAAAGCTGAGAGAGAATGGCAATGTATTTACATGAGAGTCAATGTTACAATTGTTTGCTTACATCATATAGAAAATCTGTATCATTCTCAGCCCTAAAAGATTAAACTTTTTACAGCTGTGGCTGGGTGGGTCGGATGCCATATTTTCTTGGACTCAGACTTCTTCGAATTGATGGGGAACCCAATAGTATAAGGGATTTATATGCTGCATGATTCTTTACTGATTAACAACTTAATTAAAGAATTGATTGCAGATAAATCAGATTAAGGAACAGCATGCATGCAAAATCAGCTCTCTTAGCATGCAAATATGGTTATTCAGTTACACCACTTAGGACATATTGTGTTAAGCCCATCACAATGCCCCAATATCAGTGCGCCCTATATTCTACACTTATTCACACATTCTTCAGGACAGCAATAGTGTCACGGGGGGCAGGCTTGTTGGGACATTGCTAGTGAAACAGCCTGTCTGGCCAGACCCAATGTAGAGGACCAGAAAACGCTTCTGAATAAATTTCACCATGGTCCTAGAGCTGCAGGACAGTGCCAGCATGGCTAATGATGGGCTCTTGAGGTGCTGCTAAAGGACAGTTTCTTGGGGTGTCTAGATGCCAACACCCTAAAATTAGGACTGCCCCACCAACATCAGGACAATTTTGCGAGGGTTCTCAACCCAGTCCTCAAGGACCCCCTACCAGTCCAGGATTTAGGGATAACGTGGGTGTGTCTAAAGTGTAAAAAAAAAAAAAACACACCTTAGACACCCCCATATAATCCCTAAATCCTGGACTGGTAGGTGGTCCTTGAGGACTGGGTTGAGAACCCCTGGTTTAGAGGCCTGTGGATTTGTATATTGGATATGAAGCATAGGCAGTCTAAGCACCATAACCACCACAGCTAGATGCATTGATTAGGTTTCTAATAGTCTCAGGGAAATCGTCCATTGTTGTTATTTTTCATACCGTTTTGGGACTCTTCAAGGCTGCCATTGCCTGCCCCCTCTCTAGTCGCGAATCTATGCAACCTGGATAGCAGTGATCTATCCAACCTGAACGTAGTGTGTTAACACACATCCAGCACAATCCATCATGTCTGTTCACCGAGACCACTGCTGGCTTCCAGCCCTATAATTATTGAAATAAAGGGGGGTGGGGAGGGGAATAGGAAAGGCAGGTGGTTGGACTGAAGGCACTATAACAACACCAACAAGATGAAGTTGTTATGGTGGCTACAGTGTTCCTTTAATCCACAAAAAGGTCACAGATGAGTGAATAACCTTGTTAAACTCTAAAGTAATCCATTTAAAATGATTGCCAACTAGGATCACTACATTTCCCAGGGCACATATTGCTTGTACATGGTGTTGGAGAGTTAATAAAATAAATGCTGCTCTGTAGAATGCAGATAATTTATATTAATCCTGAAATAATTCTGCAATGTATGGGTGCTATAACATAACACAGGTAGCACTTTTCATATACTGAACAAATGCATTTTAACTTCATAGGTATCTAAGAAAATATCGGGAAGCTACAAATCCTGACAATACTTTATGTACAGGTTTTAGTGATATAATCCAACCTGTGTACAATTAAAACCGCTTTTAAACAGATGTTTACTTTATAGAAAATACTGTTCTTTCAATAATTGCATCTCCTGGTCCCATGACCACATCAACAGGCAGTAGTGGTTGTGGTGCGTGGAGTGTTTCTTTAATTTTCTACAATTTGAAATTTAGCGAATACCTCAGTACGTGTCTTCCACCTCTAATAACAAAACATTAAAGGGTTAAACTTATCTTGGTTCAGAGAATGTAACTTGAAACCTGCACTTTATTGGTTTCTTGCTTGCATCTGTAAATTTAGTGTTTGTTACGTGGAACAGTTTTTGGACTTAATGACAGTAAAGTCTCCTTGCAGGCATTGCTTCGGTAGCCCCATCCACTGAAGGGTTGATCAAAAGCTGCACACCCTTTTTGTGTTTCCGTTTAACTGATGTTATCAAGTCTCCACCTGCTACAATTCCTCCTTTGTGTCTCCCTAGAGCGATTTAACCCCCATCTCCTCATTATGTAGTAAATTGGATTTTTAAATAATTTTTTTTTGCAGTTTACAAAAATCTTTTCAGAACCGAGCCAAAGAGAGGAGGAACTAATATCTGCTTGAGAGATTGCAGCTCATGGGAGATGGAAGAAAATTATGCCCCAGGATGTTTCCATAGCATAAGTGTACATTCTTTCAGGACTTAACCTCGGGGGATAATATGTTACAGAGCAAAGGGACAGATCACAGAGAAAGATTTTTTTGTGCAACATTCTTGTTTTCAGCTACATGCAAAGACCAATGTTTTCAGACTGCCTCCAACTTCTCTGACAATGCAAAGCCTTGTTCCGTGGCTTGGTAGAAGACCGAGCAATCCCACTGGCAAAGGGCAGGTGTGAAAGATGGCAAGCAGTCTGACTGTTGTCGGTGCCCTCTGGGCTCTCCTCTCATTCCTCTCGGCAGCTATTAGCTGCACCAGTTTCTTCATGCCCTACTGGTTATTTGGTTCTCAGATGGGAAAACCAGTTTCCTTCAGCACCTTCCGGAGGTGTACCTACCCTGCTCATACAGAGGAAAAAAGTCTGGTGATGGTAGAAGAGTGTGGCAGGTATGCCAGTTTTAGTGCCATCCCGAGCCTGTCCTGGCAAATCAGCACTCTGGTGACCGGTATTGGTTGTGCTTTGTTACTGCTGGTGTCATTGTCTGCAGTTCTTGGCTGTTGCATCGGGGACCTCATCTCCAGAATGACTGGCCGGTTGCAAGGAGGAGTGCAGTTTGTTGCAGGTAAGAGATGACACAATGGAGGGGAGCCCATCAAAGATTGATGTGAGTTACAGTGGTGGTAAGCCATCACAAACAAGTGTAAATTGTCTTTAAATTGTCCATCTTCTGTTTCTGATGGAGAAGTTAAATCTGGATTACAAAATTGAGGCTAAAATTTCCAAGCTGTGACTATAGCAGATAATTGTACCAGATTAGCTACTTTTGCCTCATTTTTTCAGTTTGTACTTTAATTCTCTGCAGTTCAGTGTATATAGTGAATCACCCGGATGGCCTCTGTCTCTACAGCAATTCTACAGCATGTTAGTGTGGAAGAGGCGCTAATTAAGAAAAGCAGCAGCAAATAGCTGGGACATACATGCAGGCCAGGACATGTGTGTCTCATGTTACTCTATGATTGATGGATCCCGTTGCATGATATAAGACCGTGCAATATGGTTTTTTTATTGCATGATGTGATTCCACCCACTGTGCAATATGTAATTGGAAGCCATGACTGTCCCGTTGAAACAACACACAGATTGTCTAATGTAATAATATATATATATGATGTATGCTGTAATCATTATTATAAGTCATCACTGTTTGTTCACACTGGAATCATGGTAGAAGTGACTGCGTCGCTTTACATTGCTTTGCCACCTATGTTAATAGAACAAGAGGTATAGCAAGTCTCCTAGTTGTCACCAACATCCCGGTTAACTCTAAAAAACTGTGATAAACACAAAAGAAATGGTGTGGTGAGCTACAATTACATGTGTGAGGATCACCAATGAGATTATATACATACACTGGTTATCGGTCTCCCGAAATATACTGGTTGTACTCCACCTAGGAAATGATATTCCAGCTTTTAATCACTTAAAAACATAAAACAAAACATAGTGTAAAACTGTTGGTATTTAATGATAAAAGATGAGGTGATTATTGCACTCACAGGTGGGATAATGTGATTATTACACTCACAAGTGGACTCTACAGCCTCTATAACTCTCTCTTCACTCTATTTGGGACATCCTTATCCAGAACACACTCCTTTATTACCTCTTGGGATCCAGAACGTTGGTGCATTCAGGAGCTGACTCAAAACATCTTGGAGTCCCTCTGTGGCAGGTCTTTTGACCGATTGATGTGCCTTTCTAGCCACTGTTAGTGGCGGACCACTTGTGAGTGTAATAATCACCTTATCTTTTATCATTATATCCAAAATATTACACTATGTTTTGTTTTATGTTTTTTATAAGTGAGTGAAAGATGGAATATCATTTCCTAACTGAAAGAAAAAAGAGAGGTTGGAGATTCCCGTATTGTTTATATTGTCACCAATGGAACACTGGTAAATTAAAACGTCAATTTTAATAAATCAAGTTAAAAGTCCCTTTTTAATAAGGACATTACACACACTCTTTTAATAAACACGTGTATACACACCACATCTAAATGAAAACCACATCTAAATGAAAATGGATAAATCCACTATAAATAATAATTCCACTAGAGGGAAAAAAATGCCCTCTAATGACTGTATTAGTCTACTGAATTGGAATCCTACAAAATTAATAGTTTCATTTCCTAACTGGAGTACTACCAGTATATTTCGGGAGACCAATAATCAGTGTATGTATATTTTCTCATTGATGATCCTCACACATGTAATTGTAGCACACCACACCATTTATTTTGCCTTTTATGTTAATAGAACAAACAAACATCAATCAAGGATTTGTATATTATTTCAGTTCCCAAGTCACATATATCAATACAAGCCTTTTCACATCCGCTTTGCCTTTAACACATTACATGCCAGAATGTGTGCAAGAAAGACATTGCAGAGCAATTTGTCTCCAGTGCTTGTACAGAAACAGTTAAGCATCAAGTGATCTTGAGCTTTGAAGCAGCAAAACAAGTCTGTACGTTTGTACGGCTTTGATATCCCTGTGGTGGGATTAATTTAGAGGAGTACGAGACCTCTCCCCTGCTTCCTGACTGCCACGCAATGTAAAGTGTGTGAAATTGGAGTAGTGTCGTTGACACAAGCTCAATATAAGAAGATATGGAATAACCCTATTTCTATTAAATGAAGAGACTGCTGGCTGCCAGCCAGACCATGTTTAATAAGCAATGTCATTTACTGTGCAAGGCCCATATTCAATGAACCATGGAATTTATCTAAAAGAGCAGACTGTAAGACCTTTATTGGAATGATCTCTAAATAGGACGGTACTTCTAAATGCAGTACTCTTCTGGCAGCTCTCATTCAATGCCTTATCATGATAGGATTTAACTATTCAAAAGCCAGACTTGTTAGCAACACTTTAGCCTATCTGAATAAGGAGAGATTCATGGACCTTATATTATTGGAGCTATGATTCCGGTTGGGTGTATACTTAATAAAGTTCTCATGATGCACTTTTGGGAATGTTTCGCTAAAGGCCCACAGTCTGAATTCACCAGGAAATTCTTGGTGAAAATATTCAATTAGGAAAAACGTTTCAGTTCAGTCATGTTTCCAAATCAAATTTTCTGGCCTTAAATGTGCAGTTTGTTCCCTGTTCAGTTTGGGACAATTTGTGCTTTAGTAGTGAATAATCCTGTATAATATGTGTGCAGTAAAAGCACAGATTTGGAAGCTCTATTATCCATTTAAATTGTTAAGGATGCTGCTAAATTGGCCAATGAATTTGGCATTGCGTTCTGAAAATGCAAAGTTGTGAAAATCTGACTATTCTCCAATAGTTCCTTGGTATAAGCAAATCAGAGTATTTTAAATTAACTGATACATGTATTAAACATAAAAAAAAAACCCTCAAAAGTTGTACTGAAAAAAAAAAAAAGACTCATTTGGAAAGAGAAGTGTGTGTGTTTGTTTCTATACGCCACCTTTATTAATAATAAAATCATATACTGAATTACGTCCCTTCATCCCCAATGACTTCTCCTTTGTAAATATATCGCCTAACAGAGGATATGTGTGAAATTCTCATTATTCATTCCGTATCATTAATAGTGTTAGGCACAATGTATTGAGCTTATAACGTGTGCTTTTATCAGTTGGATTATACTATCTCAAGCGAGATAACATCACTTCATGCTATGCTATCCCGTGGGCTGATTTATCAAAGTGTCTAAACCTCACAGTCTGATGAATCGGCCCACAAAAATAAGATAGCATGAAATGATACTCTCTCGTGACAGGTATTATCATCGCTTTCATAAATGCAAGGTTATCTTTGTATCATTTGTTTTGTGGTATGCTTAAATTATCAGCATTTGTTGTTTGTTTGGTTTTACTTCTTTTTCAGGATTAAGACAGTCTGAGAAGTCTATTCATCAAACACAGCATTAGTAGTGTTATTTAGCTAATCAGAGTTTAGATTAAAACTTTATAACAGGCAATTTCATACCACCGCTCAACAGGCCCTAAACTCATTATTTACCTACGTTAGAATATAAAGTGAAATAAAACAAAACGTGGGTTACGTTAAAAGATCCCTGCATCCTTATAAATAAATATATTTATAATGCTGGAGTGTTTTATGACACTTTTAGTGTCTCACAGTAACGTGTATTTAACCCTTTAAGTATGGGGACAATGGTCTCCATTGTTCTTAACCATAAGAAACATAGTGGAAACATTTTTCTTAAAATGTGAAAAAACTATTTTTTTCACATTTTTGCTTCTAATAATTTCACATATCCAGCGCAACTAAATAAAAATAAGTCAAATAGATTCATGTGTCAGACTTGATGGTTAAAGGTCTCTCAAATATAAATAATATGGTTGTAATTAACACTAACCCTATACCAATCCTAACCGTATGCTAACCCTGTCCTTAACCCTAAAACAGCTTTAACCCTAACCCAGTATTAACACTTACTCTAACCCTAACCTTACAACTAACTCAAAGCCTACCCTTATAGAAACCCCCTGCTTATCTTAGTAGATCTCAGATGGATTTCCTGGTTAAAACAGTAGAGTGTTCTGTGACTGCTATCGACTGCCTGTATTCACAGTTTTTGCACAAAATAGTCTGCATGTTGCACCATAAGCCGGCCTCCTTAGTCACACCCCTTCATGCCAGAAATACTTCCTTCCATAGCAAATGTATGCATGGTCTCAGCCACAACAGCACTGAGTGAGCGGCTTTTAATTCACAACCTGGCTGCAGACCATCAGAGAAACTACAAATAGGGAGTTACATCCTTACTATATGCCTCTCCTTATAATGCAAGTTGTTTTGTTTTTCAGATCATTCAGTACTGTCAGATCTGTCAGTGGCTGAGCTGTAAGGACTATAAGGAAGTCTTTCTGGAGAGAGTGGGTGTGGCTAAAGAGGCAGGCTTACGGGGCAGCATTCTGCAAAACATTTTTTAAAATGTATGCAAAACTATTTCAGCATGCAAAAATGTACAGCGTATTAACCAAATGCATTAAAGTAGTATTGGTGCCTGGAGTGCCCATTAAAGTACTATAATTATAACATTAACTTAATGTAGGTCCCCAAACGAAGATGACCTAACTGTTTTGCATATTCATTAGCCTCCGCTTGTCGATGAGTAAGTCCTACTTGAAAATATTAATAAGTAAAAGGCAAGTTGTTTGTAGTCCACTTAGATATAGAAGTTTTCGATTAAACCCAGATTTTCGACTATTTGCAACAATGCAGTTGCATTAAGCGTGTTTGTAGCAGAAGGAAAAGATACAGGGTATTCAAAGACCCAATTGGACAATACTATATGAAAATGGGTATTCTGAATTATTTTTGATTTAAGTCTGTGTTTATAGGACAGTATCTCTTTAATGTCCCTACGCAAATGTAGCTGAGGATCTGCCCAGCCCTACCTTATCTGGGTCACACTGCAAACTGGTCTGGCAGCATTTGTCTTATGTTTCCTGGCTGGATCAGAGAGCCTCTGTGCACCTGTTACATATCTTTTGTTCATTTATAAGTGCATTGTGGCTATTTCCAAAGCCCAAAAGCAGGACAGACAGAGAGAGGTATTTGGACGAGCGGTTGCCTTTGGGCACTATACAGAGCAAACAGGATAGGAGATACAAGTGAAAGGCTCTCCAGGAAACCACCTAATGTGACAAAGTCTCTCCTTTAATGTAGGACAAATGATTTAAAGTTGATTGTACAAGATACAATGTAAATCTGTATTATGAAAATAATTGACAAAGCATTCACATTAATCCTTTACTGGGCAGGGAGTTGAACTGTGCTGTAAGATCAGACACTAAAAGGATCATGCTTGCACAACATGCACTACAGGTGGCTGCAGTGGTTGTGGTGCTTGGAATACTCTTTTAAGCTGAGGTCCGAGACATACACTCAGATTGTCACAGGGCCATTTCGTTGAGTTCCTGATAATCTGGGAATCCAACTCAAATCTTAATGCAAAAAGTATTGTTGCCTGCTGCAGGAATACCATGGTATCTAGAACACGGAGTGATTCACTTTACACCCTAGAAATCCGTGATGTACTTTTATTACATGAGGTATAATTTGGAATATCACTTATTATTTATTTTGTGTATTTTTGAGCGGTTATACATTTTATATTCTATATTAGAATCCTGGAAATAGTACATTTATGGGAATTTTTTTTTTTTTTCAATAGAATAATTAAGAAAAAAAAATTGCGTTCGTTTAAATTATTTGAACTAAATATAATTCTGTATATGGGTAAAAGTTTTATAACCCATCGTCAGCTTGATATGCTGTAGAAAGTACATTCCAAAAGAGACAGTCCAGAGGGTGATGAAATTTTACTTCCTAATATTCAGATCTTTAAATTCACTGTCCTCTAAGTGTTATCCATCAAGGTCTAATTTTTGGAATCACATTTTGTTACAATTCCAGCAGCTTTTACATAATCCCTTGTGGAATAGCGAGTGCTCCCTTAGACAAGCAGCAGTTATTTGCTTAGATGTTTCAGGTGCAGTCAATAATGAGGAAGACCATTACAGGTTAAAGCTTTATGGCTGAATGTTCTATAATCTGTCTCAATTCCGGCCATTAAAGGTTTGAGATCAAACAGGCAGCCAGACAAGATCATTTTGTAAATCACTTAAGATGGCAGGTACTACACAATGCAATTACATTTTATGTGTATAAATATCAGGCATCTTCTCTTACACTTTTCTATTTGCTCGAAGAAAGTTATCTACAAACCAAAAAGATATATAAATTAAAATAAATTGTAGGAGTAAATTCGAGAAAAAATAAAAATGAAAACTAAATGTTTAGAATGGTTGGTTACATTAAAAATTAATTTACAAAGTGTATGTTAAGCATACCAAGCACCAGGCCTCTCCACAAAAAACAAACCAAAAAAACAAACCTTTTTTTTTTTTTTTTACTGTTTAGTAGATGAATCCCCAATAAGAACACAATTTAATTATGAATTTTTCATTTATATATATATATATATATATATAGATATAGACTGACAAAGTCTCTCCTTTAATGTAGGACAATGATTTACAATTATATACTGCTCCAAAAAAATAAAGGGAACACTTAAACAACACAATGTAACTCCAAGTCAATCACACTTCTGTAAAATCAAACTGTCCACTTAGGAAGCAACACTGAGTGACAATCAATTTCACATGCTGTCGTGCAAATGGGATAGACAACAGGTGGAAATTATAGGCAATTAGCAAGACACCCTCAATAAAGGAGTGGTTCTGCAGGTGGTGACCACAGACCACTTCTCAGTTCCTATGCTTCCTGGCTGATGTTTTGGTCACTTTTGAATGTTGGCGGTGCTTTCACTCTAGTGGTAGCATGAGACGGAGTCTACAACCCACACAAGTGGCTCAGGTAGTGCAGCTCATCCAGGATGGCACATCAATGCGAGCTGTGGCAAGAAGGCTTGCTGTGTCTGTCAGTGTAGTGTCTAGAGCGTGGAGCCGCTACCAAGAGACAGGCCAGTACATTAGGAGACATGGAGGAGGACGTAGGAGGGCAACAACCCAGCAGCAGGACCGCTACCTCCGCCTTTATGCAAGGAGGAACAGGAGGAGCACTGCCAGAACCCTGCAAAATGACCTCCAGAAGGCCACAAAGGTGCATGTTTCTGCTCAAACGTCAGAAACAGACTCCATGAGGGTGGTATGAGGGCCTGACGTCCACAGGTGGGAGTTGTGCTTACAGCCCAAAACCGTGCAGGACGTTTGGCATTTGCCAGAGAACACCAAGATTGGCAAATTCGCCACTGGCGCCCTGTGCTCTTCACAGATGAAAGCAGTTTTACAGTGAGCACATGTGACAGACGTGACAGAGTCTGGAGACGCCGTGGAGAACTTTCTGCTGCCTGCAACATCCTCCAGGATGACTGGTTTGGCAGTGGGTCAGTAATGGTGTGGAGTGGCATTTCTTTGGGGGGGCCACACAGTCCTACATGTGATCGCCAGAGGTAGCCAGACCGCCATTAGGTACCGAGATGAGATCCTCAGACCCCTTGTGAGACCATATGCTGGTGCGGTTGACCCTGGGTTCCTCCTCATGTGGCTGGAGTGTGTCAGCCGTTCCTGCAAGACAAAGGCATTGATGCTATGGACTGGCCCGCCCGTTCCCCAAACCTGAATCCAATTGACCACATCTGGGACAGCATGTCTCGCTCCATCCACCAACCTCACGTTGCACCACAGACTGTCCAGGAGTTGGCAGATGCTTTAATCCAGGTCTGGGAGGAGATCCCTCAGGAGACCATGCGCCAACTCATCAGGAGCATGCACAGGCGTTGTAGGGAGGTCATACAGGCACGTGGAGGCCACACACACTACTGAGCCTCAGTTTGACTTGTTTTAAGGACATTACATCAAAGCTGGATCAGCCTGTAGTGTGTTTTTCCACTTTAATTTTGAGTGTGACTCCAAATGAAAAATGTGATTTCCATTTTTTTACTTTTGTGTGATTTTGTTGTCAGCACATTCAATTATGTAAAGAACAAATTATTTCAGAAGAATATTTAATCTAGGATGTGTTATTTTTGTGTTCCCTTTATTTTTTTGAGCAGTGTATATATAAACAGATTGCAAAGGCTGCAGCTCTCTTGTCTGCTGCCTCTGCAAACCCTTCACTACTAATCCTGCCTAGATTGTCAGTGGCTGTCCAATCCCAGACTTCCCAGTGCAGTCTTTGCATTGCAGGGGCTCTGAGCAGTTGTTGCCTCTTAAATTAAGCTCCACTGAGCTAATCAAACCAGGCAGTAACAGTACTGGGTGGCCATTTAAAAAGCCAAGGAGGTATAACAAGGTTAATTTATACAAGTGTCAATTTCTAATGAAATTTGCACTTTCTGTAAAATGGAAAGATTCTTCACACATAAAGTGCTTCATGGATGTGGAGTGTCCCTTTAATAGTGATGCTCCTGTTTACCTGTATATAAAATGTTCAAACACACATAAGATGTATAGTTGTATATTTTGCAATTGTGTATCTTTCAAGGCCACTTAACATAATCCTGCTCATGTAATAAAATAAGGGAAAAATAATTAAAAACAAAAAAGTGGTTGGCAAAAAAAATCCACTGGAAAAATACAACACTGCAACAAAAATAAATCAATCTTCAACCTGCGATTGCTCGGTGCTGAAAAAGGCTTCAGAGTAGGAGAGCTTTTCTAAAGGTTTTCCAAAGCTTTGACTAATTATTAGAGATATCTGATTGGTTGGCTTGTAAGCCAACCAATCAAATCGCTCTGACAGGCAAGTCTCACTTCTCTCAGTACTTACCATGGGACAGTTCAGGACAATCTCCCGAATTATAGAAAAAGTTGCATTTGCTGTTTCAGTGGAATTTGTAGAAATAAATATATGGAATTAAGCACTCCCCGAATTATCTCACATTCCAAACAAGTGAGCATGTGGCTTCCACCATCCTCACACACATAATTTAAAGACACCCTGGAGGGTGTAAGCTGTGTGTTGGAGAATTTTGCATGTTATTGTGGATATTGCGATTTTTACAAACAGAATTGCAACACCTATGGTATGTATTTTTATTTATTTTTTAGAATATGTCTTTCTGGATTTTCCCCATCAGTCACCTGGTATATACTTTATGAATGTATTGCCAAGCACTGAGATCTAAACTGACTTTTTTTTAACTAGACAAAAGTTGCCCATAGAGTGATCACACTGACATCTCATGCAGGATTTAGAGCATCGGTTTTGTGTTCTATGGGTTTAGAATACAACTGACCAATATCTTATGGAATGCGGACCTACTTTTGTGAGCTTTAACTGTGCATTTGGGTGTTTGTGAGAACCAGCAACACTTCTATTATTTCACACCTTTAACCCCAAAACTATATAGTGTCCCTTTTGAAAATACCAAACATAAACGCATTTAATAGAGGATGCAGAACTAGCACATAACACAATGGAAATCAGTAGTGTTGTACACAGGTTACTGCAGGACCTTTCTTATTGTGGTTTAGAGAAGCTTATGTAGAAGGGCAAGTATACATTTCAGGGACTACAGTATGTCAGAATTAATAAAAGTAATAATAAAGAATATAGTAATAATAAATAAGACGGCATGTGAGTATTTGTAAGAAATGTGTCAGTATATATGGGAATGCAGATTCCCAAAATGCCAGCAGAATGTAAAACCTTATACCTTTATATGGACATAAAGAGTGAAGTTACCAAAGTAAAAAGCTATATTAGTCTTATCTAGAGCACGTTCAGCTGCTATTGAGTGAGTTCATGTAGGGTAATGGAGTGCTAATTAGCTCAAATGCACTAATTAGGTATTCTGGTTGTCGGATTGCATCATATGCTTCATACCTCCCAACATTCTGTGTGTCTGTTCTGGAATAATGGATTCTTCATTCATCTGCAGCTGGTATCTTAGCCAGCTGTGCATGAGCAGGAGAGCAGACACACAGATTGTAAACCACCTTCCAGCACACAGCTGAGTTTATATATAGATCCATAAACACTTTGCATAAGGAATGTGTTAACGTAACCATGTATAACGGCCAGAATTGCAGTTTACACACCATCTCTGGCTATTCTGTTATATTCTAATCCTGAGAAGTGGTAAATTGATAGATTATTGGTTAAAATCAATATGAATCTGTTTGGAACATTGTTTTAAATTGCTTTACATGAAGAAAATATTCAGTGCAGTTGTTTACTATAGCCAGGTCCTAATTCAGTGGCAATTTATTTAAATTTATATTTTCCTATGAATGAATGAAAGTAAATCTATTTTTGATGATGCCCAGTATATTAATTCTGCCCAGGAACGTACGGCTCTTGCAAGCTAACAGGAGACAATTATATGTGTAATTGATTGTAATACATTTTTCAGTTTGCTGTGTGGCTCACGCTGAGTAAACAAACATGTCCTTTTTGTCTCTCTCTGATTCTCCGTAGGACTTCTCATTAGCTCAGGATGTGCCCTGTATCCGTTGGGGTGGAACAGCCCTGAAATCCAGCAAGCATGTGGCAACGCATCCAGTCAGTTCCAATTAGGTAACAAGTGACTCACAGTCACCGAATGTCGGCTACATGAGTGTGTCTGACCGGTACTAGCTGTGCATAAGCGCAAAGCTCATTATAACTGGGATGAATTGAAATCAATACAGCAGATTGGTCCAATTCCAGATCATGCTGGAGGAACAAGTGATGAACTCTGTAACAGAAAATATTTATTTCTAATTGTCTAGAAATTGGCTAGAAGCATTTAACATGGAAAAGCAAAAAAACAAAGATTTTAAGGGGAACTCTTACCACAATGGCCACTACAGTTCATAATCATACATAGTTTGCGTCAATTTGTTTTCAAGCTGTTAGACAAGAAACAGGAGTCTGCTGGCAACCAAAAAAGACAAGATGCTAAAATGTAGCACACACATTCACTAAAACGTTTATGGTTTGAAACACTGACGAGACAAACCGATAGCCAGGCTTCTCAGTTTGCAATTTGACTACAATTTGCACAAAGGTTCTGGACTTAGCTAATCATTTACTTCATTTCATATTAACAGAACTATTCACTGAGTAAGAATTTAAAATGAATTTCAAATTTAAGGCCAAACATAGATGAATTAGATACACCTCCCCCCCCCCCAATTTCAGCTACTTTTAAATTAAATTTGAAATTCATTTTGAATTCTAACTTTATTGAATAACCATGTAAGAGTTTAGGCCTCTGGTTTAAGTGGCTACAGGATCACTCTAAACTATGGGCAGATGTGGAACATGATAGAATTATGTTATTATTAATATATGCTCTGTTGATCCGCATGCTATATAATAAAAGTTCAAGTCCATGATGAGTTGCTAAACACAGGTCTGACAGGCTATTAAAGCAGGAGATACATTCTAAAGCAAACAATGTTCAATAAAGTGTAAACATTATCTCACCTTACAGAAAGTGTTTAGGAAGGCCGTGTAAGTCACATGCCGATAGGTGTGGCTAGGGCTGTATATACAAAGTGATTTGATGCCTAAATGACAAAGAATTGAGCAGTGAGACTGCAGATGTATGATATTTACACCAAAACTATTTCAGTAAGCTAAAGTTGTTTTAGTGACTATAGTGTCCCTTTAATCACACACAAGAGCCTGCTGCAGGCTCTAGCAGGTAACAACAGTGGGAGAATTGTTCGGAATTCTAACCAGGATTATTTGCAAAAGTGAGAATAATTTTTCCTGGATTATACAGTCATCCCCCACTATGTATAGGGCATAATGCACAGATAACCTTCATAGAATGTTGGTGCCCTAATCTCAGGCAGAGCTGGGACGTACATTAACCCCTACATTGTCCTAACAAACTATACCAAAGATTAAGGCCTGAACTACACAATCTCTAAACTTTAACTCCCTACACTATATTAAACATAAACCCTTAAACGAACCATTAACCCCTACACAACCTTAATACTTAAACTAGCACTAACAAAAACCTGCACATAAGGTACATAACGGTGAAGAGTTTATTTGGGGGAAATAATGCCTCGACCTTTGAGATCCTGGTTTATTAGGATATGCCCAAAACCCTCATTATTTTCCCATAATGCATCATTTACACATATAAATGAAAACAAAGTAAGTGATCCATATAATTATCGTCTACCGTGATGTAACGATAAATTATTTGCTGAATTCAAGAATCAGAGCTGCAGTGTTGTTGAAGCAGAAGAGGCTATTACACGACATTAAAAATTAATTGCACTGTTTACCACCAGGGTGCATTATCCTGGTCTCCTGTAAGACATTAAACCTCATCTACATAATTACTAAAGAGTCTGGGACACGCTGGACCCTGTCAACCTCCCCTTAGGGCTGCTGTAATAATGTAATGCCAAGCTCTGCCTGTTTTAGGGGAAGCAATAGCCCCCATACTTAATTGTAAAACATAGCATGTGCACTTATAACATAGAATTTTCAATGATGTACACTAACCAGAACTCGTAGCACAGAGGAGAAGCACATTCTTGATGTTTTCAGATAAATGGAAGGATAGGGCTTTTATAAATATAACTTTTTTGAATATTAAAAGGGAAAATATGTCCAAAAGGCATATTTTTTATACTGCACAAAAATAGTTATTGAAAAAACAAATGTACTAAAATTTGCACAAAATATTTCCTAAGCCATAAAATCGTACCTTTCCTTAGCTGCTGAACTGACCTCTGTAGCCAATTAAAGGACCACTATAGTGCCAGGAAAACATACTCGTTTTCCTGGCACTATAGTGCCCTGAGGGTGCCCCCACCCTCAGGAACCCCCTCCTGCCCGGCTCTGGAAAGGGGAAAGGGGTTTAAACTTACCTTTTTCCAGCGCTGGGCGGAGAGCTCTCCTCCTTCTCTCCTCCTCCGTTCCGCCCCGTCGGCTAAATGCGTACGCGCGGCAAGAGCTGCACGCGCATTCAGCCGGTCGCATAGGAAAGCATTTACAATGCTTTCCTATGGACGCTGGCGTGCTCTCACTGTGAAAATCACAGTGAGAAGCACGCAAGCGCCTCTAGTGGCTGTCAATGAGACAGCCACTAGAGGATTAGGGGGAAGGATTAACCCATTAATAAACGCTATGTTTATAAAAAAAATGGGTTAACCCTAGCTGGACCTGGCACCCAGACCACTTCATTAAGCTGAAGTGGTCTGGGTGCCTAGAGTGGTCCTTTAAGATCCATCCCCTTTTTTGCCAAGCACTTACTTCCTTGTTCAAGATGGACATTGTCTAATTAAATGCTTCTCATTATTGAAATTTAGGGATGCATATAAAAATTCATACATTTGGAGTTCTATTAGTTCATGTGCCTTTTTTAAGTAATTTTTTTGTGTTCATGAAAACAGTGACGTGCTATATGAAGCTATTGTGATCTAAAATTCTTATCTGGCTCAGCCAACTAGTAGATGGATGAACTGGAGAGGAGTAATATTATACAGAATCTATGTAGCATATGGTTGGCTTGCTATCTGATTGCATCAGATGTATATTTCTAGTCAAGATGTGGCAGGTAACTTATTGCACTCAATTTGATCTTTTCCAAGCAGAGTGCCTTGGTTTTTTTCCCCTATGACCTTTACACCTTGGAAGGCCAGAGGTCAAAATCCAGAACTAATGTTTTTTTCTTCATTAGAGAGTTTGAGGGAACAAGGCCTAACCAAAATGATCCCTCCAGGAGCATATTGCTACTATATTTTTTTTATCAGGAAGATGTAAAATAAATGAAATTCATATCTAATACCTTTTTTATTGGACTAACAGAATTTTAGAATGATAAGCTTTCGGGAGAACCTGCCTTTCTCAAGGCTAAAGCATATCTGAGCTCAAAAATTGCTGTAGACTTAAGAAAGGGAGGTTCTCCCTAAAGCTTGTCATTCCAATGTTTTGTTAGTCAAATAAAAAAGGTATTACAGGATACGAATTTCAGCTGCTATTTTACATCTGCATTACTTGACTAATACGGCTACCATCTCGATTTTAAAAGAAAGTGAGGATTCCAAAAGCAAATGGTTTCTTGAAGAAGCACAATAGTGTTAGGAAGACAAACATGTCTCAAATTGCAGTGAAAAGTTTCAAACTAACCTTTTTTCTATCGTCATGGCTGCCCCCGCGTCCATGGCTTGATGATCTCAACAAATTTAATGCTTTTGCATAGGAAAGCATTAGGAGGCTATTACGCATGCCCGGCAAAATGCTGCGATGCACCAATCATCATCTCCTCTTAGAGATGCACCTCCAGGGCTGGCCTTAGGCCTTAGTATTATGTGAAATACTTAGTCTGCTCCTCTGTAATGTAGGGGAGGCAGTCTGGCACTTCTGTTGGCTGCAGACCATAAGTAGCTGTTTTCCTAGCTTGGGATAATCAGAGCGCTGCCGCAGATTACCAAAGGACACTGCAAGTCCCTGAGCTTACATGGTCTGTACCCAGTGGAGGGGCAGACTAGATTCAGATCAGCATCACTCTCCCAACTAGGTAACAACAGGAAAGGAAGAATTAATTTTTTTTAAAAAAAATCATTAATTTAATAAATCCCCTATACAATCACTACATTCCTATACACACACTATACATGAATGATGGAGGGAGGGGAGGTTGTGAAGATTTTTAGTACAGGGCACCTAAAGGCTTAAGGCCGGCCCTGTGCACCTCTATGAGGAGTGGTCAGCATCTCCATGCAGAGTGAGCAGCACTAGACTAGGAAGCACCTCTAGTGGCTGTCTGAGTGACTGCAGCGAGAGGTGTTACTAGGCAGCAATGCAAACACAACCTTTTCTCTGAAAAGTTAGTGTTTATATTGAAAAACCCGCAGGGACATGCTTTAGACACCAGACTACTACATTAAGCTTTAAATTCAGCTCAAAAGTGCACATATTCATATTTAGTTTAATGATTCAAAATGTGCTTTCGGAATGAGAATATCAAGCATTTTAATAAAACAGTTCATCAAATCTTTCCACTTAGAGTATGTCATTTAGAATTACAATATGGTGCTATAATGTTCAGATTTTTTTTACGGGACTATGGAATTTGTGTTTAGTGAAACGGCTTCATTCACAATAAATCACATCTTCTGAACACGGATCAAAAAAAAATAGTAAAAATTAAATAAAAATTGCTAAAACCTTTGAATACTGGTTGGATTCAGCTGTAGAGTGCATATACAGCCATACTAAAGTACTAAGTACATTCAGCTGAGCAACTGCAGTTGGTTAAAGGAACACTATAGTCACCTAAATTACTTTAGCTAAATAAAGCAGTTTTAGTGTATAGATCATTCCCCTGCAATTTCACTGCTCAATTCACTGTCGGTAAAGTTAGGAGTTAGGAGTTAAATCACTTTGTTTCTGTTTATGCAGCCATAGCCACACCTCCCCTGGCTATGATTGACAGAGCCTGCATGAAAAAAAAACTGGTTTCACTTTCAAACAGATGTAATTAAGTGTTCTTGCATAGCAAGACCACTTAATGTTATCTCACATATATATTATTCTTATTCTTATTATAGCCAAATTTGCCACCCTAACGCCTCCCATAGTTTTTACACTACATAGATAAAAATTTACCAAATGTGCAGATTGTTCCCGATCGGATTGCTATTACTCTGTGGAACGTTTCGCCGAATGGTTCACGGAATATCGCCGTTCTTGTGGCGAAATTTGTCCCATAGGAATGAATGGCAAAGCTAGAGTGGGAGCTGGCAAAAGCTGAAAAAATCAGGACATGATTTCTAAACTGCCACCACTCCCTTATTTCCAGGCCCACCTACACAAATCTTATATCAAAACGTTCAGCTATCCCTGCTGCCACTAAACATGTCAACGGCTAAGCCGTAGTCCTGATAGTTTTCACAATATAATCATTTGTTTGCAACTAACGCCGTCCATTGACATTCATTGAAACATCACTCTACAAAGCTCAAATTTGAAGTGCAATTTCTAAACTGCGACTGTGCCTTCATTTTTAATACTTCAGAGACATACTATGCATCAAAATGTAGGTCTGGGTCTTGTGATTCTCACAATATAAAGCTCTTCGCAACCGCCAAAATACTCTGACCTGTGCCAGGCTGCAGCAGCAAGTGATGTCATAGACAGGGCCTTTTGAACACCTGCTAATGTTTTTATAAATGGTTTGATGTAACTGTGCAACAATGTTGCAATTAAATGTGCTATATAAATGATAACAGTTACTCTGCCCACTCCAGTTGTGGAGGCAAGAACACTTCACACAATTTCCCCAGAAATTGTAGCTTTTCTAGTTTACCTTAAATAATTGCATCTCAATCTCTAAATTGAACTTTAATCACATACAGGAGGCTCTTGCAGGGTCTAGCAAGCTATTAACATAGCAGGGGATAAGAAAATCTTAATTAAACAGAACTTGCAATAAAGAAAGCCTAAATTGGGCTTTCTTTGCAGGAAGTGTTTATGGAAGGCTGTGCAAGTCACATGCAGGGAGGTGTGACTAGGGTTCATAAACAAAGGGATTTAACTCCTAAATGGCAGAGGATTGAGCAGTGAGGCTGCAGGGGCATGTTCTACAAACCAAAACTGCTTCATTAAGCTAAAGTTGTTCAGGTGACTATAGTGCCCCTTTAATATCTGTTTAGACATCTATTCATCGCATCATCTGCACATGCATTGCTGGCTGTGGTCATAACGCAGAAGCATAATCATTTACCTCCACTTGAGTGGGTAACAGACATGCCATCTCCAGCAGGTCTCGTTCCTTGTTCACAAACCAACTAGGTTAAATCCATCCTATCGAGTTCCTTTTGGACTGCTTTAACTATAACTATAACGGATTGCCAAACTAATAATATAATAAAGCATATTTGTATACCTTGAAACTATGTGGATTTGCAATTATGGCGACTCCAAAGACATTGCATTCATCTTTGGGTGGAATATGCATGATATTATGCTTTGCTTACCAGCTTGCCCAAGACACCCACAAATTGCCCATTGCTGCACTATATCATATGGAACCTGTCCCACCCACTATCAAAAACATTCCATCAATTTTCTTTGTCCTCGATCACATATTTACATCCCCCCTATCTGGAGTTATGGGATCTCTAGTTGCCTGAAAAATCCAAATGATCCTTCATCTACTGTTTATTGGCTGAACAATTAACTCAGTTACTGCAAACCAAAAGAATATGAATATGGTCTTGCGTTGTGCATTTGTTAAATTCTGTTGTAAGGAAATCAGAGATATTCATATATTTTCTATCCCCGCAGGTACCTGCAAGTTGGGCTGGGCGTACTACTGCACAGGAGGTGGTGCAGCAGTTTCTATGCTTATCTGTACTTGGATGTCGTGTTTCGCAGGAAAGAGAAAGAAACCATCTCCTTACTGACATTCCATATCATTAGAAAGAGAATGGACTGTGATACAGATGATGCATCTGCCTGTTCCTGGCCTGGAACCCCAAGGAACTGGTTAATTTGCAATCACATGGGTGGCAGGTGAAGATGTGGCCATGTCAGATTGTTCTTGGAACCTGCCACATGTGTTGATGTGTGCTACAAGCTAGAAGTCAACTTATTAAAAACAGAAGAATGGAACATTATTACTTGTAACATGGAAGGACGCTCTTATCAAGACGTTTACTTCTACAGAGTGACTATTAAATACCATCTGCCCAAATATTACAACATTTATCAGATAGTAATTATAGCATGATTTATTTCTTACGACGATTATAGCTGAGCTACACAGAGTAACTGAGAATATTTGTGAACTTGGAAAATATGTTAGCGTTAAAAATGGAGAATCCATCCTTAAGACTAGTTATTCCGAGTTAATGAAGGATAAATGATGTCCGTTAAGCCTACAGATAAAGTGACATAACTTCTGAAGGAATATGAATATTAAATAAGGGACAGATTCCTTATTTACCCGGATGTTTAGAAAAAGATCTCAAACTCTCCCCTCTTCATCCTGTCACAAACGCTCCCCTCACGATCACACTCATCCCCCAATCTTGTCACACTCACCACTCCTCTCACCCTGGCACAATAATCCTGTAAGATTCACTCATCACCCTGTAAAACGTACACACACCCTAACCCTGTCAAACTTACCCCCCAGGTGAGCGGCACGTGCAGACCTCAGTAATGGCTTCCTTGGGATCCAGTGCTCTCTAGTGATCTAGAGCACAGCCACAAGATGTTCCCAGTTTGCACAGTGCTGAACTGTGAGGGAGCGATTCCGGAGGTCTTGATTTTGCAGTGGTGCAAACCTCCCACTGGCCCATCAGGGACTCAGGACCCCCGATTGACCACCAGGCAGAGCTAACCCCTGCTGGAACAAAAGGGAGTATGGCCCCACCATTGGACCACCAGGGATGAAAACCCCACTTCCTTGAAGGAAGCCAAGCCATAGGGGGCTACACAGAGCACAACCACACACAAACAAATTACATTCAGCCGGCAGACACTCGCATATTACATATAGCCGTCACACAAACACACCTTAATTTTTTAAAATCTGATTTTATGGTAAAGTTGTCTAAAAGATGAATGTCAGATGTTGGGACAAAGGACATGAAAACAATTCAGTGCTTGCCATAGGCACTATCTTCAGTAGATATGCCTTTGTGTGAAACCTATCCCAGAATGTGAAATCCCACCTAATTTAGTGCTGGGCCCATTAAATCATGAATGTGACCGCACTTTCTTTCCCAGAATTATATCCTTCCTGTTTCCATAGGGGAAAATCTCAGGGCAAAGAGAAGGAACTCATATGGTTCTCTTGCTCTCAGAACTCAAGAATGTTTATGGTATTAGAGTTCATTGTTTTTTTCCACACAATAGAAGATTTATGTATGTTCTTATACCATAATGTTTTATCTCTACCTGCTGTACGGTGGTGTAGTAAAGCTACCATTTTAAAATAAGCACAATATGAAAGTTAGAGAAACCCTTATTTTCCAGCAGAACCTGAATTCTTCTGATAAACAGGTTCCGGAGTAGTAAGACGAAATTGCTTTGAAATTTCACAGATGAGGTATATGTTATTTACAACTACAAACGATTCTACACTATATGTACTGGCAAAGTGATGTGGCAGGTCATTAAACAATGAGGTAGTTGCAGAAAAAAGGAGAAAGTGGGGAAAAAAAAAATCTGTAGGCATTTCAAGGATTTTTCCCAACTATCCCAACTTTGCCCAGACTTGGCGTTGTTCAAGGCAGGGATATCCCATCCTAATCATTCATTATTTATTGTACATATTTATAATAACGTCTATAATATATAATAGTATCTCCTGCACATACGCTACCTTTATTCTTCTAGGAAAACAAAACATTCTACTTATACCTATTCCCACTAAATAGAAAATATTTTAATAAAGATCTGCTACATTTAGTGTAATCAATTTAAAAAAAAAAATAAAAAATTTGAACGTAATGGACGCATGTCTCTTTTCAGCTATGTACCTATATACGCAACTATGTAGCTTTACTGCACCAGGTATAGCCAATAGTCAGTAATGTGAATAACACATACATACACTGTATAACCCCTATGCCTGCTATTCCTCCCATATACAGTGAATAAACTTGTAAAGGGGTAAATTATTGATATCAATAAAACATACATACATTGTATCAATAATGCACTTACTCTATATTCCTCTACTGTAATACAACACATTTAGTGCTTTGCACGCACGAGAACATGATTATTAAAATATACATAAATACACTGCTGTAAATCTAATATACTTATTGTACCTACTTATTGTAGTGACTACACATACCATACCTCCCTAGTAAATTAAAGTGCACTTAGCATTAAGTATTAAAATAAATATACATGCCATTCATACTTGTAAACCTATATATAGTAAAGTCAGAGCTGCAGCCAAAGTCTGTATGTATAGAGAAAGAGAGATAAACAATACAAAGTAAATAGTTTTATATATTAAATTTGTAAACTAAACATAATTCACGCTATAATAAATAAACTCCCTATTTAGCGGACACCTACAGCCAAAGATGCAAACGGAGTTGAAATAGTATACTATAATATTACATTTACTTGCATATATTATATAGAAGTATATATAATTAATATTTTGCATCCCCAGAGTTGTGTAAACAAGAAAATATTGTTTCTTTTAACTTTACAGTTTACTCTTCATCTCTGGTTTTTCAGTTTTGTTTTGTCTGAGAGGCCGTTAATGAGCATACAGTTTTATCCTTCCTTACCCATCCAACTAAATATTTTTGGGTCTTTGTACAGTTTACTCAAGCAGTTCTTGACCCCCATTTCTTTCGTAAATCATACACGTGTATAGAATGTATTAAAAATGTGCAAATAATGCTTCAATGCTTGTAAATTTTGTATTAGCAAAGGGAAGCATATGTGAGGGAGCGGACTTCGAATTACTGTGATTATTAAAAACTGCTCTGTATGTGCAGGGGGATAGGATATAAGGACCTCCTTGCATTATATTCTATATAAAAAAAAAATGTTTAAATTACAATGGTGTTTGGAGTACCCCTTTATATAAAACCTAATCTATCAGTTATTAATCGTATGTAAAATTAGTCATGATTATAACCACATAGCCATTACAATTTCAAATGTCAAGTTGTTGGTAGACTATAAAAGCACATTATATTATAGTATTCTATGTAGCATGTTATAGGAGGGGATGCGGACAGAAAAAAAACACCTATTCATGTAACAAAAACAGTTTTTAAAAATATGTAGAATACGAAGCCGAAACCTAAATAAAAAAAATCGACTGAAAAAGCATGGGAATGCATCTGTTTTTCTGCTATGTAAAAATGCCAATATGCCAAAGAACAATGGGGCAAACACGTAAACCATTTTCAAAACCAGAATGAGCACTGCTCTCTAGTGGTGAAAAGTACATATTACTATTTATAAATGCACCATAAATTTTTTTTTAAAAATTGTGCATTTTGATTTGAATAAGGTTTTAAAATTAAACAGCCAATTAGAAAATTAGAAATGTTATGCTTTAAAGGACCACTATAGGCACCCAGACCACTTCAGCTTAATGAAGTGGTCTGGGTGCCAGGTGCCTCTAGGATTAACCCCTTTTTTTTATAAACATAGCAGTTTCAGAGAAACTGCTATGTTTATAAATGGGTTAATCCAGCCTCTAAATCCTCTAGTGGCTGTGCCGCTAGAGGCGTTTGCGTGCTTCTCACTGTGAAAATCACAGTGAGAACGCGCAAGCGTCCATAGGAAAACCTTGTAAATGTTTTCCTATGAGACCGGCTGAATGCCCGCGCAGCTCCTGCCGCGCATGCGCATTCAGCCGAAGGGGAGGAGAGGAGGCGGAGAGGAGAGCTCCCCGCCCGGCGCTGGAGAAAAGGAAAGTTTTAACCCTTTCCTTGCCATCCGGCCCGGTGGGAGGGGGTCCCTGAGGGTGGGGGCACCCTCAGGGCACTAAAATGCCAGAAAAACAAGTATGTTTTCCTGGCACTATAGTGGTCCTTTAAGGTTATATATTTTTAAAAATACATTACCCTTTAATCAAGTTATAAACATGTTAATGTCTTAATTTGGAAATAATTGCAGAAGAATTCTGTCATGCACTTAAAGTGTTCTGTTTACTGTAATTTCTCTTTTGAAAAAAAAGTCTTAATGCACAATACCCCCATTACTTCTGGGCTGTCCTACACAACCGAAGAAAATGGATACAATGTTCTATTAAACATCGCAGGTTGTGTTCGCTATGTATACCAATACGTGCAAATACATATTTGTAATGTGCTCGGGATAAAGAAACTATACAAGAATTATTTAATAATTATTATATCCATAAAAGCATTATCGGTTTAAAAAACAAACAAACACACCTTCCTTGGAACAAACTAATATATCCAGTTTAGATTGATGAATAGCTTAATATTAAATATAGGTTTTGAGCTCTATGGCTGCTTGACCTTAAACCAACGAATTACTGCTTAGAGTTACATCTTCGGAAAACTGATTTAGCATTAACACTATAGGCCCAATTGAATACGCCACACATTTTTACTAGATGTAACGACTTTACAATAACATAGTTGATACTCAGTGACAGGTTCATAGCTTTCGATGAGCCGGTAAAGGTGTTGACACTGTCACAATCCCACCATTCTAATAATTTCATACACCACTTTCAACATTATACATTAAGCACTCAAGATTTAACAAATCACAATTCTGCTGAAGATGAGTTATCGACACTTTAATGGAATCACTGAGAACACGATTTAAACATCTAAGAGGACTTGAATAAAGACTTAGAAACATTTTTCTAACAACCAACATTTCTAAATATTTCAAGGTGATTACGCATGAGCAGAGAAAATATCATAACCACTTTTCCTGACTTGATGCCGTATACAATCATTAATCAATTCTACCAATTAAATGACAAACATTTCAACTGAAATATAGCATAGGGAAATCAATAACAATTACACATGCAGAATACCAGAAATATCAACTTAGAGGTACCTTAAATAAACTCAAATGTTCACATTGAACATAAATCGGCCATAATCGGCCTTTTAGTACCATGTACAGGTTGTCTGTAACGTATAATTTGTTATGTAAGTGAAACCACAGCAAAAGCAACGTTTTTTTTTTTTTAAATGTTAACCCTGTAATTACGGCTTATTGAGCTTTACAAATATAAAATCATGGTTTAGGCCTAGTTTTAAGATTATAATAGTTTCTTAATTTGGCTGCATTACAGGGAGTTAAAGGGCTTATGAAATCTGGATTGTGAGCTCTTTGACAACTGTCATACATTACCGACTGAAAGTAAAAAAAAAAAAAAAAAATCCTCAATTGGTTAAATATTGGATTGCAGTGTAGGCCTTGGTGTTTAAAACCTGTGACCACTGTCTACTCAGATTAGTACCCTGGTGGTACAGCTTAATCTTTATGCAGTTGCAATTGGGTTAGTATTAGACAAATCTCTTAGTACCTCGGATGTGGGTTTTGGAATGCAGAAGTTTCCTAGAATGTCTGGGAAGGCTTCCTAGAATGTCCTCGGAGGTTGATTAACGTAGCTTGAATGGTCAAAATGCTCATAATTCCAAAAAGACTTGTTTACTTCACGTACACACAAAAATACTCAATAACAATCCTTGGTCATTACCTGGGATTCAAGCCCACATAAACTGAGACAGGACATATCTGGGTAAGTAAGCAGGATAAAAGGTGAAGATCAAAGATATCTTTGAAAGTTAATGGAGAATAGCAAAACAAAAGGCAAACAGCACATGACTTAAATATTAATAAGACATAAAAGGCTTGGTGAGGAAACCTCACGGTGAGTGGAGATCCCGTTTCAGTGGTTCTCAAATGACAGCTCTGAACAGCAAGAAAGAAAATTGGAAGACTTGTGTGGAAAAAAAAAAAATCAATTTGGCTGAATCAATTTGTAAAAAAAATTAAAATAAAAAATAAAATAAAATTGTTTGAATAGCATGAAATACGTTCATGCAGATTGTGGAGATGCTGAATGTCAGTGCTGCATGTTGTGCAGCATTGACCCAGGAAGCACCTCCAGTGGCCATCTGAGTGACTGCCATGTAAACACTGCCTTTTTTCCGAAAAGACAGTGTTTACATGAAAAGGCCTGCGGGTGACAGTCATGGGCATAAATCGGTGGGGGAAGGGGGAATGTTAGCATTTTTACTTGTATATTCTTATTCAGTAAAATGGGAGTGGTTTATAACATTAAATGTTAAGTGTGTGTGTGAAATTTCTCAAAAACAATATGCAAAAGTGCTCTCTCCTACCCCCTGTCCTTTAGAACTCTCCCCTGCCCCTTAGTGGCTCTCTCCTTTCTCCCCTGCCCCTTTGTGGTCTCTCCTCCCCCTTAATGGTCTTTCCTGTCCTCTGCCCCCACCCCCAGTGGCCTCATCGCCCACCTTTCCATTAGTCGTTTCTCCTCCCCCCCATTCCATTAGTAGACACACCTCCCCCCCCCCTTGTTGTCCTCTCCCCCCTTCCTAAGCCTGGTGTAACCTGGGGTGTGGGGGGGGGGGAGAGATTTCTCCATTGCCTGTCCCTCCACATGATTTCCTGGTGGGGATGCGTCTCCCCCATCCCCCTCCGGTTCCTACGCCCATAGTGACAGGGAGTAGACACCAAAACAACTACATTAAGCTGTAGTTGCTCTGGTGACTATAATGTCCTTTTAAGAAAACACAGATATCAACGTCGATTTGGAACACAACAGGTTAATGCCAAAAAAGTGATCTATTATCATTACTTTTGCAATGTAACTGTACAGCCAGTAAAATTGCCGTTTTGCCTGTTAAGCTTGCATGCATATCTTGGCGTATTGATCTTAAGATTCTGTGATTAATGCTAATGACAAAAGTTAAACCTTATTTGAACTTGATAATGATTTCTAACTGCAGCCGTATTACTGACAGAAAACAGTTAAGACATGTTTTGATTGTGATGTTGTTAAAAGCAAGCACGCAATGCTGCAGATATTTGGAAACTTCTATCCAAGAAAAACAAAGGCTGGATTGTGATCAAGACCTTAATTGATAAACCACTTTATTTTGGAAGTGGAAAATGAGTAGAGATGGTGTGAAAAAACATGAATCAGACAAACTGAAAAATCTGATAGATTTTTGCATGCTGCTCTTTCAGTTACATTCTTGCACTCATTCATTTTTAAGGGAATCCATGGGGTTAAAAATTATCAATCTTTATTGCATTAAAAAAAATATGAGAACAAAATCTGCAGACAGGACCTGGTACCTGGTAGATCAGACAGGACAGGACCTGGTAGATCAGCAGTCTGATTAAGCACTGTCAGGATTTGCAAAACTTGGACAAAATGAACACAGGCAACCTGAGTCTCTCATGCCTGCTGCTTGATTGACAGCTCTGAGGGGCAGGTTTAGAGCTGCAGTGATTTTCACAAATCGCTCCCGTTCCACACTCCTCACAGAGCTGACAGTAGGCTCAGGGCTCTGTGCATCGTCACCGTTATTATTCTGCATAGTTTGATCTTTTAAAGAATTAAAGAATTAAATAGATATACAATTTTCTGTCTTGTAAAAAAATACCTGCAGTATCCTTTAATAATCGCAATTAGTAGAAACAAAAACAAAAAACTTTCGAAGGCAAAAGGCACATGACAGTTTCAGAAAAAGTGGAGCTTCAATTAATATTTCCTCTATTTTCACTCACAATGAAATGATGCTTCCAGTGTGTTCCTGCTTTATGCTGGAATAATGTAACTGTGAACTGAGTAACAATGAACCCTGTTCTCCCAGATAACAGATTATGTAGAACTAAAAACAAAAGACTTTGAATGTATCTCCTTGTTCAGGATAATTTGCAGAAAATATTCAGAGTTTGGAGAATGTGCTCATTAGTTGATTTGTATGGTTTATAATAACAGTGTTCCCAGATTTGGCCTTTGTAGTCTTTGTCCAGTATCTCTTTGTTATTTAACCTCTTCATGGCCAAAAAAAAAAATGATTACACGATATCGGGTAAAATTATCCTGAATTTACATCAGCCACAACTGCGCCCATTCCATTACTCCCTCAAGGACAGAGGTAGTGACCAAAGCAAAACGTTGAATATGTCCTATGTGTTAGTTCCACTTTTATTTGAGTTTTTATTTTTTTTAACGTGCCTCTATTATATATTGATTTTTAAAAAACAGAAAGGGTTTTCTTTTAATATATGCTACATGAATACCTAACACCAAATTAAATGTGAATAAAATGGGAAAAATATGAATTTTG